GGTAGTCCAGCCCAGGAAAGGTGTAAATTGGCACCATACAGCTGATGGACCCACGATGGCTTGAACAAAAATAGCTGTATATAAGGTGTGTACAAAGTAGTTCAATAATATATACATGTGTACGTGTGCTTAATGTCAATTTTTGGAAGGGTCTCACACTCGCCCAGGGGGGTTGGACCTTTCTCAATTATTTATTTCTGGTTTGTACTAATACTTGAAAAATTAGAATAACTGAATAATCAGATATATACAACTGATAACAATAATTATACATAAATTCTACAGTTTTAGCTTCTTTCTTAGCCTATAGGCTTGCTTACTGCCATCATTGCAGATGATGATACAAGCTGATGATGAGCTAGAGTAACTTGCCACATACTTCTGCAGATATTTAAGAGCAAGTGCAAATGCAGGGAACAATCCTTTTGGAGCATACTTTCTTTAACCCGGCTATAGCAGCGAGGCCACGCACCGTAGGTGTCTCGTTGTATAATAGCAAGTTGTTTAGTTGAGAGTAAGTACATGCATGTTTGTTGTAGCAGCTAACCTTTCTTTATTACACTTCGTTGTTCTTAATATTTATAAACAGGTGAATGTTAGTTTATTACTGGTATGATACTTTTAAATCAAGGATAGTGATAAAATAGCAAGCTGGTAAGGTGAGATTAAGTTCAGGTGTCTGTGCGGTTGTAGCTAATCTTTCTTTATTACACATTTTTGTTCTTTATAGTTATACACAGGTGAACGGTAGTTTAGTACAGGTATGATACTTTTAATTCAAGGATAGTGGTATATAACAAGCTGTGTAGTTGAGAGTAGGTACAAATATGTTTGTTGTTACAGCTATCCTTTCTTCATTACACTTTGTTGTACTTTATAGTTATAAACAGGTGAATGTTAGTTTAGTACTGGTAGTATTCCTTTAATTCAAGGATAGCCATACAATAGCAAGCTGTATAGATGAGAGTAAGTACAGGTATCTGTGCGGTTGTAGCCAACCTTTCATTATTACACTTTTTTGTTCTTTATAGTTATACACAGGTGAACGGTAGTTTAGTACAGGTATAATACTTTTAATTCAAGGATAGTGGTATAATAGCAAGCTGTATAGTTGAGAGTAAGGACATGCATGTTTGTTGTTGCAGCTAACCTTTCTTTATTATACTTTGTTCTTTCTAGTTAAAAACAGATGATTGGTAGTTTTGTACTGGTATGATACTTTTAATTTAAGGATAGTGATATAATAGCGAGCTGTATAGATGAGAGTAAGTACAGGTATCTGTGTGGTTGTAGCTTACCCTTGTTTATTTCACTTTTTTCTTCTTTATGGTTATGCACATGTGAATGGTAGTTTAGTACAGGTATAATACTTTTAATTCAAGGACAGTTGCTGGACTAAGTCCTGCTGCAGCTCCTCCAGAGGCTGCTCACTTTCAAATATCGCCTGCTCCTGGTCATCTTCAAACAAGACATCATTGTGTAGCTCATCATACAAATCATCATCACTGTTTATATTGTCTGTTATTATAATGATAGTAGTAGTAAAATCAATTTCTTTGTTGTAGCTATGGTTTAATGTTATGCAAACCTACCTTCTGGTACATGATAAAAGTATGTTTCCACAAGTTCTTTGACGTCTGGATTGTCAAAGGCGCCTTGACCTTCATTTAAAAGGCAACATATTTCCTCTGCTGACAATTACCAAGGTACCAGAGTTAGTAGTGACTGTCTAACTGTAACTGTAGTCTAACTGTAGCTGTAGTAAGTTCTTATCTAGTTGCTATGGTTATCCCTTGTTGCATAGCAACTGCAAGTCCACATAGCCCCGTTTATAATATCCGTGCATTATTGAAGTCACGTAAGTGGGAAAGCGTCTTCAAGATAGAGTCTATATCTCGCTTAGTAGAAGGAGTTACACAACGCTTAAGGTATCATTCAATAGGCTATGAGTTATATAATATAAATATACAAAAATTGTTTTGTAAAAAATTGTTGTGATTATGTTTCATGGTCAATGACCTCCTTATTGTATTTGCCGCCAATTGGTCATTTTTCTCTTGCTAGGCTACATATGTAGCACTCTTCTTGATTGCCACAGGTTTTGTGTAACAAATCTTATCTTCTCGTGGTCT